TTGTTCTCTCTGTCATTCTTGCCATATAATTAGTAAAACATTGAAATAATTCAGGCACTGAAATCTGCAAAAGAAAACCATTTCATTTGTTAATAAAATTCAGTTTACTGTTTCCAATAGAGACCACTCACTGCTTCTTGGGACAAAATACAGTGTTACATTGTTTTAGGTATCAGACAAGACTCTGTTGACTGGTTTTGGATACCAGACAAAACGGATATATTCTGACAGGATATGGTACATAGACTGGATCCAATATTCCTGGGGTATCGGAAGGATCCAACACTGCTGAGCTATTAAACATAATTCTTCTACAGAAACAAATATATTTTTGCTTAACTGCATCAGAGCTCACATAAGGTTTATACATTGCCATGAATGGAATTTTTACTGCCAGAACCTGACTGTTGTGCCTTATAATGACAAGAATCTTACCTGATGTCAGAGGTCACTGCTAAGGAGTTCATACATTGAGTTCTTACTCTTTATAGACACGGCTGGGCCCTGGATATTGTGCTCTTTCTCCTCACAGAGACTCACTTGAGAGACTGATTTCAGGACTGCAGGGGGAAAGACAGAAAAAGTTAAATCACATTACTGTATAAAAATGTTTTTGGTTAAATCATACTGAAATATAATAGTACATGTTATTTTTTGTCCTTTAATCATTAAAAGGTAAACAGCAACATCTTTCCTTCTGCTGCAGTCCTCAAATTTAATTTTCCATTCCACATATTTAAACTTGCTCACCCACGTTTGGTAACATCACACATAATAAACGTGTCAATGACGTCAAACCTAATGAGAATTTCAAAGCTGCAGTGGACAGGACATTTTATATTGACTAATAAGATAGAAATGAAGGTCTATCATCACTTATAGAAACATCTGTAAATATAACGATCAAGTCTGATTCAATATACTATGTAGAAAGTCATCAACAAAAATAGGCCTCCGAACCCGGACCGCAAATGCTATTTTCTATTAAAATCAAATTTATATTAGGCACATCAAGATCAGCTCAGTAGAGCCGTTTGGGTCCTGTGGTGCCACGGGTTGCTACTAAGGTTAACTGTTGCTACGGTCAGATGTAAAGGCATGCATGCAGTGAAGAAAACAGAAAGCGGCGTGCAGACAAATGAAACTTTCAGTGATTGAAAAAAAAAATGACATTCTCAAATTATGAAAGTTGACGGGCCCTTAAAAAGTCTTAAATTTATTTGTTTTAAATGTAAGGCCATAAAAAAACTTAAATGGTACAAGAAAGTCTTATGATTTCAGGAGGTCTTAAATTTGGGGATGGAAAGACAAGAATTGCGATATGGCTGAATGTGATGATTAAACATCAAAAGGCTATTTTGATTTCATTGAATAAATATGAGCGCTGCGCTGCTTTGTGTTCAGTCGTTGCCTGGGAAACCGCTGTATTTCTGCCGTACAGAAAAAGCGCCACCTGCTGGCAGAGAATGAATGAGCATTTTCAATAAGCCTGTCTGCTGTTTTTGTTCAGACCAATGAAAAAAAAATCAACCCATTTTTTTAAGCAGCAAACACACAGAGTTGTACATGTGAACTGGTGGGTCGACAATAGGGGTGCTCCCTAGTGATGGCGAGATGAAGCCTTATGAAGCATTGAAGCTTTTCATCCAAGTGGTTCACAAAAGGGTTCATTTCTCGAGGCTTCATTTGCTCACAATACCACCCGGTGGCCAAAGAGTGTAAAATATGTAGATACATTACAGATGACCTGATGTGATCTATGATACACTGTTTTGTGCCAGTTAAGGGTTAGAAATAATGGTGAAGAAAAAAAAATCAATTTCCACATAGACTAATCTATTTATATGAATATAAGTGACATGACATGTGACATGACATGTGGCCAAGTATGGTGACCCATACTCGGAATTAGTGCTCTGCATTTATCCCATCCAAAGTGCACACACACAGCCAGCAACATACACACACCGTGAACACACACCCGGAGCAGTGGGCAGCCATTTATGCTGCGGTTGAATAAATATGAGCGCTGCGCTGCTTTGTGTTCAGTCGTTGCCTGGGAAACCGCTGTATTTCTGCCGTACAGAAAAAGCGCCACCTGCTGGCAGAGAATGAATGAGCATTTTCAATAAGCCTGTCTGCTGTTTTTGTTCAGACCAATGAAAAAAAAATCAACCCATTTTTTTAAGCAGCAAACACACAGAGTTGTACATGTGAACTGGTGGGTCGACAATAGGGGTGCTCCCTAGTGATGGCGAGATGAAGCCTTATGAAGCATTGAAGCTTTTCATCCAAGTGGTTCACAAAAGGGTTCATTTCTCGAGGCTTCATTTGCTCACAATACCACCTGGTGGCCAAAGAGTGTAAAATATGTAGATACATTACAGATGACCTGATGTGATCTATGATACACTGTTTTGTGCCAGTTAAGGGTTAGAAATAATGGTGAAGAAAAAAAAATCGCTTCCTGAACCAGTCAGGCCAAGCAAGGCTTCGGACGTCATCAATGACATCATTGCTCTAAAGCGATACAAGCCTCGATGCGTGCTTCACTGAAAGCTGCCGGGATTTCTCCACACATGCTCCGAAGCCTCGGCACAGAACGTAACATCACTAGTGCTCCGATCAAGATTTTTGAGCCCGATCACCGAAAGCAGTATCTGCTGATACCAATCACCGATACCGATCTTTTTAAAGCCTTCTTTTTATCATTTATAACTATTTATAGTGATACTCCAATTAGGATTTTTAGACATTTATTCAGGGCCTAAATTTCATTTTTGAAAATGGGGGGAAATCCCCTCTTAGTGACTCTTGTGAGAGGAGAAGCAGCTTTCACACAAGAGTCCGCTACTGATCCGTGGCCGTTTACCACAAACACAACATTTATGCAGTATTTTGATTTCAAATCCAAACATTGTCACTGAAAATGCTTTTTCAGCATTGCAATTTGCCTTGCTCAAGGGCACCTCAGTCGTGGTATTGAAGGTGGGAGAGAGCGCTGTACATTCACTCCCCCCACCTACAATCCCTGCCGGTACGAGACTCGAACCCACAACCTTTTGGGTTATGAGTCCGACTCTCTAACCATTAGGACACGACTTCCCCTATATAATGTGTATTTTATAATGATTGTATAACAATACAACAATTGTGTAATAAACGTATTGGCTTGAAATGAATGGGGCTATCAAATGTGTGTAAATCAA